TCCTGAATGAAATTGGGAGATCTAATCAGGAATATATATACAGTGGGTACGGAAAGTATTCAGACCCCCTTAAATTTTTCACTCGTTGTTATATTGCAGCCATTTGCTAAAATCATTTAAGTAAAGTGTGTGTGCTTGCGTGCGTGCGTGTATGCGTTATATAAATTTAAAAATGTTTTTGAAAGAAAAAAAAAAAGTAAAATGGAAATTTTATACCAATGCTTTTTTTTTCTTTTTTCCAAGCAGCCATTACTCCAGTCTTATTATTGTTACTAATGTTGAAAACAGTTGTGCTGCTTAATATTTTTTGTGAAATGAATGATTTTTTTCAGGATTCTTTGATACACAGAAAGTTTAAAAGAACAGCTTTTATTTTAAACACTTCATAATTTGTGTATAACAATGCAAGTGTCTTACCACCACGTTTGATCAGTTCAACACATTCTTGAATAACAGTATTGATTTATTTGTATATATAAAAAATAGATAGAATGATAGAGAGAACTAGATATGTATATTTTTAGAAGATGCAGTAGGCAGCTAACATGAGCATGTTGTTAACATGAATTTAACTTGGTTAACATGTTGCTAGCATTATGCTAGCATGTTTTTAACAAGATGCTAACATGAATAACATGTTAAAATGAAGTTAACATGATTAACATGATGCTAATACTTTTAACAGCATTTAAGCAAGATGCTACTGTCTTTACCATAATGCTAACACTGTTAACATGATGTTAACTTGATACTAACATGTTTTAGGATGTTTTAACATGTTCTTAGCATGTTTTGCAATGCCAATAGGATTTAACATGTTGTTAGGGTTTTAAGTATTAGCTGGGATTTTTATCTTGTTTTAGCACTTAGTTAATCACTATTAGTATGTAGATATTCACTGCTTGAATGTGTAGCATATTGGAAGTTCTGTTTCCTAGTATGAGTCAAAAGAGCCAACCTATATACGATGTTTGGATGCAGAGATGTAGGTCTTGATAAATGGTTGCTTGCCAGTATGATTGATATAAACCAACACTCAGATTTAAAGATATGCCTGGGTTTGGATTGCTAGAGTGCTCCACTAGCACCACTTACAATAGATAGAACAACACAGATAGATCGATAGATAGATGAACAAACAATCAAATTACAATATTAAACCCATAGGTAGTAATGATAAACTTTTATTGTGAATATATTGTATTTGCACAAGAATTACACATTTGTAAACTTTACAAACTTTTTTGTTTTATTTTCTTGAACAACATTATTGTACAAATGTATACAAAATCGTTTCAGGCGTGTCAAGTTCCACAAAAGAATATTATATATATATATATATATATATATATATATAGTGAGGTGGGCAGGGCTTTGAGGCACATACCACACCCCTTACACCCCTCCCCACCAATGAACACACACGAATCAAAGAGTGACTTCGATACACACTCAGGAAAAGAAGCGCAACCTCAGTGAAAACTTTCCAGCACACCGAGCACCAACACCAGTAAATACAGACACATGGCAGCCCTGAGGCAGCACAACAGCTGAGAGCAGCATTCAGAAAACATACAATAAATACACGCATCCGATTCCTCTTTACATGAGGGGGAGGGGGGGCACGTCTGTACACGTCTAACCTTTCATGCGAGGGTCGAAATGTCAAAGAGCATCGCGGGAGCACCATGCAAACCTGAACACACTTAAAAATGTCTGTCCCCTCTTATGGAATGCTTTTTATGAAAACGATTGTATTGATTTTAACTTTTTGGATTCATGATTTAGATTTTGGAGTGTATTTTTTTCACTACTTCTTAATCAATTGATCTACAATATACTCTTAAAAATAAAGGTTCTTTATCGGTATCTATAAGCGTTAACATCCATGAGACCTTTCCATTCCATAAAAGGTTCTTTATAGAGGAAAAAGTTTCTTTAGATGATTAAAATATTCTTCACACTAACAAAAAAATGGTTCTTTTAAAGGAAAAGTGCATCCAAAAAAAAATAAATAGTGAAAATTACTGGCACTTCGTTATTTCCAAGATGTAGATGAGTTTTTCATCCTCTGAACAATTTGTCCAAATTTAGCATTACATCACTTACTCACCATTACATCCTCTGCAGTGAATGGGTGCCGTCAGAATGAGAGTTCAGACAGCTGATAAAAACATCACAATAATCCACAAGTTATGACTCCAGTCCATCATATAACATCTTGTGAAGCGGAAAGCTGTGTTTGTAAAGGAGTTCTCTATCCATAACATTGCTTTCTCCAGTGAAAAATCTGTTTACAAATCTAAAACAGTTAGAAACAAACATGCTTCATTTTGATGTGAGAGGACAACAGCGAACAGACTTTTTCACTGGAAGAAGCATTATCATTTGTGTGGATTATTGTGATGTTTTTATCAGCTGTTTGAACTCTCATTCTGATGGCACCCATTCACTGCAGAGGATCTATTGGATCCAAACTCATCTCGTTCTTGGATGGCCTGAGGTTTGAGTAGAGTGACAACAGGAAAGCATTGGGTGGAGAGAGGGGAGCAAGATTGGCAAAGGACCTCGAGACGGTAATCGAACTCAGGTCGCCGTGAGCGCAGCTGCGCTGTATGTCGACTCTATCGGCGCCGACCAGGTTCTAATTTTTGGGTGAACAATTCCTTTGAGAACTATTTACTGAAAAGTAGTCTGAAGAACCAAAAATGCTTTATGATTTTATTCAAATTTTTAAACCTTTATTTTTAAGAGCGTGTCAGAAAAAAAAAATGTGTAGTTGAAAAAAAAAAATCTTGTACTCCATCATGATGGATAACATATGAAAACACTTTGTTTTGAAGCGAGCCAATAAAATCCCCAGATGAATGCTACTTTTAGGTAATTCGCTGTTCTTGACTAACCGTGTAGGCACTGCCAGATTTCAAGTTTTTAGTTTTAGAATAATCATGTCATTAACCTGTTTCATGTTTTGCGGACGTTTTTTGTCAGACATGGCATGGGATCAATTTGCGTTCAAACGGTGAAGCGGTCTCTGTGGGGTTTGTATACATTTTGCTGGCATTTTAAACCCAGTATAGTTTGTAAAGAGGGGAGTTAGTTCAGCTCTCTTGGATCAAATCACATCTCACGTCGTCGTTTAGTGAGGTATTTAAATGTTACGTCCTACAGCCTCCACCCCAGGCCTGAGATGAGAAATCCAGACCCCGAAAGCCTCCGAGGAGTCCAAAAACGTTTGTAATGATTCATAAATGCACTGCATATTTAGGTCTGTAACTCAATGCTACATCAGTGAAGACAGAAAGAAAAATTAATCTCATTCTGAGGGAAAAAGCCTGACATGGACGCACAGGCGCGAGCAATATTTTGCGGACATCCAGTAAACTAAACACACTTTACTTTAAATCTATATTGTGCGTTTCTTTACATTTCATTATCATTTGGCAATCACTATGACATTAAACCTTACGCCTTTAATTTCAGTTGCACTTAATATCATCACTGTAATTACATCACTTTAACAGCCTCCTCATCAAAAAATCGTTAACAAAAAAACTATAAAGCTCCATACACTCTAATAAAGCCATCAGAATTTATTTTTTGCATGAATATCAAGCCATAGAACTCATGCAAACACTGATTGTACGTTTATATTTTAAAATAGACAAAGCCTTTAAGCCGTCAAATGTTAAAACTTCTCTGAAACGATGAGAGAAGCATGTTATTTTATTCCTGGATACTTGGCCTTTGGATTGTGATGGATACATATTTCATTTTTCATAGCTCTAGGCATTGCCATTGGTTTTTGTTCTTCTTCCAGAACATTCAAAGGAACACGGAAATGTTCCCCCGTTGGCAATAGTTTTGATTGATATCGTCTAATCTCATGCACGGACCTTCTATCAAATAAATAAATAAAACAAACATACATTCAACCATCATAAATGCACGATTCTCCAGGGTTGAGCATTTTTATAACCTGTCATGTGCTGTGTTTTCGCATAGTGGTTCAACATGTGGATGTAATATCTGACACGCTTGTGATATCATGTCTGTCGTGCTGGAACACAATCTGACAGATGAAATATCTGGACGACATACAGTAAAACACGCAATCGTCTGATAGCAGGGGCCCTGCAGACGGGATGGGGAGGGTACAAAGCACATTCAACTGGACACTTGGACACAAGCGTGTGACTTTCTACATGTCAAAAAAGGCTTCGCTATACTAATTGGAGCCTGTTCAGGCTTTAGGGTCGTCTGCATTTCGCATCAGATGATGCAATCATATGGGATTTGATATGAAATTTTCCTTGAATCGTGACATTCAACATGGCAGTTTTTTCGAACGTTTATATCAGATGCTTACAGTTACCTCAGATGTTCGAGTTATCAGGGGATCTCTGGGATGTTTATAATCAGCAACAAAAGAATGCCAAGCCCAAAGACCTAGCAAAAATAACGATACAATTTGATAAAATCACATTGGGTGAATCTCAAATGAACTCAAAAGAAATGTCCAGGTCATATGTCACCTCAAAAAAAAAAAAAATTACACACACACACACATTTTTTTCTGTATAAAGAAAGTCTATACTGACTTTATTTTCATGGCAATGATTTTCTCCCAAAACCTTGCTATTTATTCTAATGTGAAAAGCAAAAAATATCTGAAATATAATAAATAATGATATATTTAAATTGTAAATAATTTACACATAAGCATACACACAACACCACTATTTAAAACTTTGGGGTCGGTAAGATTTTTAAAAAATCTTTTTTTAATATTTTTATAAATATTACATTATTTTAGATAATGTAATATTATGCGATAAAATATTACTTAAATATTATTCAGCAAGCATGCATTAATCAAACATAACAGTAAACACTTTTACAATGGCAAAAAATAATTGTAACATTCTGACATTTAATTACATTTAAAAACATTAAAATACAAACAGTTTATTTTTTAATTGTAAGAACATTTTGCCGTATTCTTAATAATAAACGCAGTCTTGGTGAACATAAAAGACCTATTTCAAAAGCATTACAGAATTCTTACCAACCCCAAACTTTTCAATGGTACTGTATATACTATATTCATATCTTTTAATGTTGAGGTGAAATATGACTTACAGATTTCTTCATGAGATTTCCCCTACTGCACATACCAGACAAATCAAAGAACATAAAACAAGAAAAACAGCCCTTGATGGGCCTAAAGGGCTTGGGTGTGGCATCACTGACCTACTACTGCTGCAAAGCTCACTTCCAGCAGAATTCATAATGAGCTCCAGAGCTGAACAGTCTTTCCTGTCCCATTAAACCCTGCTTCAGATCCGGGCTGGTGCTGCAAGCCGTCTCTGACCACACTGTTGACACATTATATGTGCGGCACTAAACATTTTGCATGAACCATTTCTGTGGTCATAACGTGGTTCCTGTGATAAAAAGTCAAAAAGATAAGTGTATATATGTCTCTCGTGTCTGACTGTGTTGCTTTTTCGGGTTGGTCTGAGAGGGCAGTATTTGGCAGTGAATTGAAGAGTCGTGTCAATTTTACAGTAGAGTTTGAATCTGCATTAGTCGTATTGTTTTGGGCTGACTAACAAACAAACAAACAATCTTAGGTCATATAGTCGAAGTGTGGTTATGTTGTGGTCTGTATAATAAGCAGTTCAGTTAGTAGTTGTTGTTTCTAGTCTGTAGATATGCTCTGGTCAGGACAAACAGGTTCTGGTTCCAGTAAGCAGCCAGAGTAGAAGGAGCTGAAGAGCCAACATCGGCCAGAGAGACGGACTCAAACTGCAGCCACCACCACAGTCAGACGCGTCCTCCTGCGGTCAATACAGAGACGTTAGTGATTTCAACCTCATATAAACACACCTACATAAAACAGTCAGGCCAGACAGTTCAGTTCAGACAAAGCAGCTTAAAAGTCCTTGCACACAGAGTCTGAAATGTTCATATTTTTATTTTATTTTTTCTTTTGTATTCGGCATACTTTCCTATCAAAATGCTTGCTATGGATGCAAAAACGCAGAAAATAGAACCTGATCCAATTTTTTTTTATGACAGACGAATGTTTCGAGGGCAGTGAGTAAATGTGATTGACACAACGTGAGGTTGTATTTATTTTTTAACCTGTGAAAATTTCAGACTCGGTGTGCAAAGACCTTAAGGGTTTATACCAGTTTTTTTTTTTTAAACATCGCATCTGGTTTGTTTCTGGTTTAATTAACAAGTGTTGTATTGTTAACAAAAACTAAAATCGCATTAAGGCTGAAATACAATTAAATATAAACAATAGAAGTAAAAGTTCTAAAATTTCTAATAATTTTTGTTTTATGTTGTTTTTATTGTTTTATTTTTAATAGTTTTTTTATGTTGCTTTAGCTCAAAATTGACGAACGTTGAAGTAAAAATACTAAAATTAAAACAGATACAAAAAATGTATTAAAGCTAAATAGAAATATTAAAATAATTAAAAAAATCAATAATAATAATAATAAAAAATGAAGAAAAAAAAATCACTAAACAAAAATATTAAAATTACTAAATTAAAACGAAAGCTGAAAATATAAAAATAAAAAGCTCATTAATAAATAATGCAATGGTATACAAATAACACTAACATAACACATGCTGATGATGTTGTTGAACCAGTGTTATTTTACTATCTTTGAAATTTTGTTAAAGGTCTATATTTAAGTTGTTTTTATTTTATTTTAAGTTAGTAATTTTCTTGTCTTTTTGTTTAAAGATATATATATATATACAACTATCAGAAGTTGTTTTTTCCAGCAGGAAGAAGATCCATAAAGAATGCAACTCAATCAAAAGAAAGTCTGATATATGTGAAATGAAAAATATATTGTGAATATCAAAACATGTTTTGGTTGAAGTGAAAAGGAATAAATCAAATCAATGACAAGCATGCAAAAACTCTTGCTGTAGATATAATGCACGACTCTGACTGATGGTCTATGTTCTGGTCTTCTGAAACTTGCGTGCTACAGTATGTGCGTGAACGGCTTGCCAATGAAAGTCCTGGGATGCCCCAGGTTTGAGAGGCATAGGGGCTTATCATCAACCTTAGGATGGAAACACATCTGGAGTTTCCTATGTTTATTCCACAGAAAATCTCTCAGGGAACTAGCTGAAAATGCACTTCCTACTTTCACAGCAGGAGGAAAGCAGTGGCGTCCTGCCTCTAGATCCATACTGAGGCAATGAATAAACAGTATTTTAACCTACATCTAGACCCTTATATGACATGACAACCAGATAAAGTCCAGCATGCTACAATTAATTCAATAAAGAGTTAAGAACGATTCAAAGAAATAGTTCGAAATATAAATGGCAGCACACAAAACGATGAAACTGACCATCAAACACAAAGCAGAAACAGCAGCAAAATGATGGATGGGTAATAGGTCAATGAAGAAGAGCCACTGATTGGACACAAAGGCTCATCCTAACAGTGACGGGCATGATGAGCAACCAATGAGCATTCAATGTGCAAACAGAAAGGAAATGGATGTTAGTTAAAAAAAGAAGAAAAGCAAGCAGTGAATGATGAAGATGCATTTGTTGAGAAATACCCATTTTGGTTATAACTTACATCTGCGTTGTTGTCAAAGCAGACGTCCGGTCCTTTCCTGTACCGAGGGTTCTGGGTCAGCACACATGGATCAGGACCAGTAGCTGAAAAACATCAATAAGGACAATAGCCAAAGCTGCAAAAAAAAGGGTTGGACAGGCTTAGATACTTGAGGACTAATTAAATAAAAAAATGTTTCCTCTGTTTGGGACCCATTTCTTGGGTGGGTACTTAGACATAGTAACCACTCAGTCGATCTCTAATGGCTTGTCTGAAAGTCATATACAACTAGGATGGCTTGAGGGTGAGTAAATAATGGGGTAATTTTCATATTTGGGTGCACTATTCCTTTAAGAATCAAACCCATGACTCTGTTGTTTCAAGCACCATGCTCTACTGATTGAACACGAGTGAATCATTTGAAGGATACAGGGCTGTTCAGCTTGTCTCAGTGGTTTGGGATCGCAGGACAGACAGGAACTCTTGGCGTCAGAGATCAAAAAAACCAAATTTGTGTTTGGGAGCTTCTCGGCCCGGTACATTCTTGGAAAAAAGGTAGGAAAGTCAGTAAAACAAACAGTTCTCACAGTTCTCAACAGCTTATGTCATAAGACAGGTATCATGGTTTATGCATCTCTAAACTAAGCAGACATAAGCCTCATCGAGACAAAATTTTACGGGAGGAGCAGTAAACATAAGCAAGCATAAACGGCTGCCGACTCAAAACATTATGCGTAAGCTCTTTGTCGGGAATCAATTAAACACATCTTACATATCCAAAACTGTCCCAATATGTGTGCAAGTCTTTAGTAAGTGTAACAGGAGATAAGTATATTATATTGGAAATCTGCGTCGGTTGGCAGCTTGTTACGTACTGTCATCGCCGAACGAGTTTCAGTCATGAGTATTCTTTATAGCGTTCTCTTTTATAGCTCTCCTCCCTCGCTTTAAAACAGAGTGACACAGGTTTTTGCACCGGCCTGTGTGCATGTAAACGTATAAATGGGGATGTGTGCATAAAAGTTATTTGTTACACATCACCTGCTCTCTTGGTAATCACAGGCTGTTTACCGCTACCCAGCATGCTAGGCTGTGCATAACGAGCCTCAGATCATAGTGGCTATCGGGGCACACTCACACAAACACATATGCACAGTTTTTTTGGTGCTTTTGATCGAATACATGCAGCCTTGTTAAGTATAATTTGAAAGAGGCTTGCAAAATATATATACTTTGTAAATAAAAAAAAAAAAAAAATGTACCAACCCCAAACTTTCGAACAGTAGTTAGGTTTAACAAAAGTAACATATATTGTACTCTTTATATGGTGGGATTGAATTATCATTGAAGTGCAACAACATTAAATATTGCAAATAATAATATACATTTTTTGCAAATATTATTGTGCCCCAGTATACAACACTGAAAACATTACATTTGCATTTATTTCACAGTTTACATTTTCTTTTTTGATTAAAAAACAACATTCTGTAGGAAAAATTTAAATACACATATATTATTCTAATTGTCAACTTAACACTTATTTTCATTCTTTAAAAAGAAATCATGAAACACTAACATTGAATTACTGAATTTATTGGCACTTTTTGCAGTTAATCAGTCAGCTGAGACTGTTTATTTGTTGTCTAAGGTCTTAATTCAGTATCGATACCATGGGACCAGAGGATGGTACTGTACTGAAGCCACAATTTCAGTATTGATTCAACCCTAGTGTCTCTGTAGGCAGTAGACAGTAAGGCAGCTCACTAGGTTTCAAAACAGAGGCATTATATAACCTCCGAGGGGAGTGTGTTGTCCAAAAAGCTCTATATCTGTAGGGCTGAAAGAAGACAATCAGACCTTAGATAACCAATGCAAAAGTCTAAAGAAATATGAAGTCTAATTTGCCGTAGTCTCCTTGATGTTCTGTTTTCTGCAATTCCTGCAGTCCTCTCATCAGTACATGTGTTCCTTTAGCCTGAGCTGGTGTTGATGTCTCTGCGAGCGAGATTGAATTACATATGCCGAAGCTCAGGTCTCGAGCTCCTGAGCTCTCACAAATGGATTTCTCTTTATGGCTCTTGTTAAACTTTACATGTCTAAAGTAGTTAACATGGAAGAAAAACTATCGTACGCAGAGTCACACGTGGGGCTCGTAAAAAAGGCGTAGAGTTTCTGTCAGGCCGAGCGCCCCCACCCACCCCAACACGTTTCGCTTTAGCGGTGTTACATTAAACAGCACGGCTGGCGGGATTTACGGCCGGCTGGACATCGGATGGATCCGGGGAACGAGGGAGCGGGCAGAGGGGACGGAAAGAAAAAGAGAAGGAAAGCTGAGCTGCTCGATCCTTGGAGAGATGACTTACCGGGATGAGCAATTATCCAGGAAGAGACAGAAAGACAGCACTGACATCATCTGCACATGCTCACATGCACTCCCACACACGCGGACGGAGGGAATGCGGATGGATTTATGTGCACACAAACAGAAAAACAGTCCTCACCTGGAGCAGTTTCCACAGTCCATAGCTCCTGAGAAAGATTTGTTCTCGTTCTCAAAGAAATACTGAGTCTGTTCGGTGATACAGCTCTCTTTGGAGAACGCATCCGAGAGGTCATCCTCCGAGTATGCTGCAAACACACAAACACACCAGCAACATGCTGTGTATATCAAAACACACAAGCGCAGATTAACAGCCTATATATCAAGCACACTCACAAAATGCATGCTGCTTGTTCAATTGATGCAAATTACTACAGCAGCTCTTGAAAATTTTGACAACTTAAAGGGGTCATATGATGCGATTTCAAGTTTTCCTTTCTCTTTGGAGTGTTACAAGCTCTTGGTGCATAAAGAAGATCTGTAAAGTTGCAAAGACTAAAGTCTCAAATCCAAAGAGATAGCATTGCATGAAATCCATTTAAATTTTACTTTATTTCAAATGTAAAGTTCACTTAATTTAATCAATGCATTTAAATTACATAATTCAATCCATGTAATATATGTTTATATACTGTATATGATAAAGATGATGTATAACATTATTATAAATATTACTATTATATATATATATAAGGATGTATAAAAATAAAAACAAATTGTTTTTTAAATAATTGCAAATAATATATATGAATTATTTTTTAAAGGGGAAAAAAATCAGTACACATAAATTAGGCCACTAGTATTTTCGCTAAAAAAAAAATTATTTTGAGTCAGTTATTTCTATCTTTTGCTGTAGTGCGTCACTAGGAAATATCAGTTTACATTTCTAAACATTATTTTTGACATTAATTGTAATAATCCAGTGAGGTTTTTGTTTGCACAAGGAGTCTGACAGCAGCCAATGCTCCACACAGAGATCTGTTAAATACACCTGTCCACACAATCTGTATCTTCCATTCCAACCGCTCCCACCACCATGGGCAAGACCAAAGAGCGGTCAAAGAATGTCAGAGACAAGATTGTAGATCTGCACAAGGCTAAGATGGGCTACAAGACCATCAGCAAGAAGCTTGGTGAAAAGGAGACAACTGTTGGTGCGATTATTCGGAAATGGAAGAAATACAAAACAACCATCAATCGGCCTCGGTCTGGAGCTCCGTGCAAGATCTCGCCTCATGGGGTAAGGATGATCATGAGAAAGGTAAGGGATCAGCCCCGAACTACACAGGAGGAGCGTGTTAATGATCTTAAGGCAGTTGGGACCACAGTCACCAAGCAAAACATTGGTAACACACTATGCCGCAATGGACTGAAATCCTGCAGCGCCCGCAAGGTCCCCCTGCTCAAGAAGGCACATGTACAGGCCTGTTTAAAGTTTGCCAAAGAACATCTAAATGATTCAGAGAAGGCTTAGGAGAAAGTGCTGTAGTCAGATGAGACCAAAATTGAGCTCTTTGACATTAACTCGACTTGCAATGTTTGGAGGGAGAGAAATGCTGACTATGACCCCAAGAACACCATCCCTACAGTCAAGCACGGAGGTGGAAACATTATGTTGTGGGGCGGTTTTCTGCTAAGGTTACAGGACGACTTCACCGCATTGAGGGGCAAATGGACGGGGCCATACTGTAAAATCTTGGACGAGAACCTCCTTCTCTCATCCAAAACACTGAAGATGGGTCATGGATGGGTCTTCCAGCATGACAATGACCCGAAACATACCGCCAAGGCAACAAAGGAGTGGCTCAAGAAGAAGCACATTAAGGTCATGGAGTGGCCTAGCCAGTCTCCAGACCTCATCCTATAGAAAATCTGTGGAGGGAGCTGAAACTTCAAGTTGCCAAATGACAGCCAAGAAACCTTAAGGATTTAGAGAGGATCTGTAAAGAGGAGTGGATCAAAATCCCTCCTGATTTGATCAAACCTGGTGACCAATTACAAAAAACTTCTTACCTCTGTGCTTGCCACCAAGTACTAAGTCACGTTTTGCTTGGGGATCAAATACTTATTTCACTCACTGAAATGCAAATCAATTTCTAACCTTTATATAATGTGTTTTTTCAGATTTTTTTTGGTTTCTATACGTTAAAATAAACCTACCATAAAAACCAGACAGACCCTTAATTTCTTTGTAAGTGGGCAAACTTACAAAATCAGCAGGGGATCAAATAAATATTTTTCCCACTGTATAATACATTTATATAAGAAACATAATAATAAATGTATATAAACAATTATAAACGGTACATAAATACATTTTAAAAGGAAAAAAAATATGTTAACACTTTATTTTAAGGTGTCCTTGTTACACGTTACATGTACTAACTATTATAATAACAATAAATTATGCATACTAACATGCAAGTAACACTAAGCCAAACCCTAACCATATAGTAAGTACATGCAGTTAATTAATATTACTCAGTACTTGAATGTATAATTACACTGTAACAAGGACACCTTAAAATAAAGTGTAACCAAAAAATGATATATGTATCATTACACACATATACATATATAGCAAAAAAACAACAACATTACACTAGACACTAAAACTAGAATAAAATTGTTCACAATTTAAATTTTTTTTGGTTGACAGGGTTTACATTTAATTTAAATCAAATTTCCTTGATTTAAATAATAATAATAATAAAGAATTAAAAGGTTCTTGATTGAAAAAAAAATCCAAAGTTCTTGAATGCAAATAGAAGAGCCAGAATTTCTGGGTTTTGTTTCTGAAACATACCTGTTCCCACTATATTTGGGAGAGTCAGACTGAGAAGTAGCTGCTGCAAAACTGACCTAAAAGGAAGAAAAAAATTAGAACATCCACTTCACACTGCAATCCTTTTCTATGTCTGTTTCTCAGTGAGTGGTGTCTATTTCTTCTTACCAGACCGCAGTAGAGGCCCACCAGCCTACAGTCAGCATATCTGCTATAGTTGGCTGTCAAAAACAAAAACACAAACATAGATGCCACAATCTAGACAAACAATCAAAATTTTGGACTTTGTGTCCACATTACAGAAGTCTATCAGAAACCCCTACATTGATGGTTTTTAAAGAAGCTGACACATATACTTTACCACATATATAGAGCGGGGTCCGGCAGCAGCTTTAGTTTCTCTCTCTGGGTCGCAGACGGATTGGTAGTCGTAGGTTTTATTAAAAGAGAACAGCGAGGTATTAACCAACGTGATCATCAGAACAGGGTCCACTTCACCAAAGAACTGACCTATCTGAAACATCAGAGTGAGAATATGAAAACTACGTCTTTGTGTGACTGTTAGCACACAGTATTGCTGGACCTGCGGCATTAGCCTTGTAAATATATTCTACCTGTGTGATATATTCATCCTGATTGGACATGAGCAGAAATCCACCATCGTCCAGAATCACGCAGTCCACTTGCTGAGGAGTAAAACCAGCCATTCATCAGAAACCGATAGTGAAAGCAGCTTTAGATAAGTAGCTACAGAGGTCAAAGCAGCATGAAGCAGTAAGCACCCTACCTTATCATTTCGGAGGCACCCGCAGATCTCATCCTTGCACTGCGGAGAGGAAATTACGTGAGGAGAGAGCTAAGAATTCATGAAACAAGTCTTTTACAACATTTATTAGAGCGAGTCAATTCATCTCCGCTCTCAGGCGGCAATATCGTCCCATCTAGAGAGGCTGCGTTTGTGACTAAACAGCTTCCACAAGTGCTGATAAGGAAACGAGGGTCATTTCTGCTTACATTTTTCTTGGTGGTAGCGTTTATGAAGCTGTTCATCCAGGCCGACACGTTGAGTTTGACTCCCACCACTGTATGATAACACAAAACACACACTGTCATCGGTGTTGAAATCCTACTCACGCGAGGTCAACTAATATAATGCTAAAAGATTCAGATGATGAGATGAAGCAATGTCAGGGTCAGTAGAGAATGACCAAACGATTAGTCATAACCTTCGTTAGTCATCAGTGATGAATCATTAAAACACAAACAAAATTATTTACGCAAGAACTTGTCAAATTCGTTCAAATTAAATAGCAGTGACATTACTGTTTTTTTTTTCTTTTAAAGATAAACCTTTTTACTTAACCACAGAGAAATTACTGTACTACTGGTTGGAAATT